AGTTGGTCTTGAACATTCTGCCGCCAAGTGATCCGCCCTGCCCTTGACCTCCCAAAGTGCTGGCGATTACAGGCGTGGCCACCGCCGCCCGGTGTTCTAACATTTTCTATACAACAGCCTGCTTTAATCATATTTATAGATTGAGGAGGATGAGGCTCAAAAAGTTCACTGCAATTTGCCCACCTTCACTACACAATAACAACCGTTTGCTCACCTTGAATAACAATGAAAATAGACTCAGGAGAAGGACCCTCTTGGCTGTTGGAATGCTCTCTCTTGCCTGGGCTGGGTCCTCCCACTTAAAAACCCTCTCAGTGAATAGGGGCTGAAAGTCTCAGTGTACAAGGTCCAGTTTTTGTGTGAAGCGGTCATGAGGGTAGAGCTGGTGTGTCCCGTCCCTTGGGCTGAGCCTGGCCCTCAGTTTCTGTTGCGCCTCCAGTTACTGGGGTGGGCTGCCAGGGCTATGCCCGGAGGGGAGTCTCACAGGACCCCTGCAGAAGGCAGAAAGGCAGCCCCTGTCCTGTGGCTCCTGCATGAGCTGAGTGTGACGGGCATGTGCGGGTCCTTGGGGCTGGGGAAGCTCCTTCAAGGAGACCTGAGTGTTCAGAGGCCCGGAAGCTCCTGTGAGATGTGACTGGATGTGATGTGGGACCACCTGGATGAGACAGTTTGGAGTTTTTTTTTTTTTTTTGGACAGAGGCCTCGCTCTGTTGCCAGGTGGAGTGCAGTGGCATGGGTCTCACCTCACTGAAACTTCCAGCTCCTGGGGGTTCAAGCGATTCTCCTGCCTCAGCCTCCCAAGTAGCTGGGACTACAGGTGCCACCACCATGCCCGGCTTTTTTGTATTTTTAGTTAGAGAGGATTTACTTGGCCAGGCTGGTCTTGAACTCCTGAGCTTGTGATCTGCCCGCCTCAGCCTCCCAAAGTGCTGGGATTACAGGTGTGAGCCACCGTGCCCAGCCTAGATTTGGCAGTTTCTAGAGCACATTCTTCCAGTCTCAGATATGAAGAGACAGGGCTTAGAATCTAGAGTTTGACTGTTAAACCCAGGAGGAACATGTGTCAAGTCCCTCTCTCCACCTCACACCATCCGAGGGGAGCCTCTAGGTCCAGACCAGGCTACGCTATCTCTCCATCAGCCCCCGTTTTGGCCTTTTCCTTCATCTAATGCCAGTTTAGATTTCCAGGTCTGGACCCTTCTTTGTGCTATTCCTTCTTTCTGGGATACTCTTCCCAAACTCTCTAGCTGGGCCAGCTGCTTCTTGTCCCTCGGTGGCCAGCCGAGACAGGCTGTTTGGCCATTTCTTCTCATTCTTTTTCTTCTAAGGCCAATCCCTGGCTCCACACAGCAGTCAGCAAGTCCCAAATCCTATTCTGGCCACAGTATCCTACTCCCCTGGTGAAAGTCTTTCCATGTTTTCCAGTGTCCTGAGGACAAAGTCCAAATTCCTCTGCTGGGTTGCCAAGGCCACTGGCCAAGCAGGAGTAAGGGAGGATAGATTTGGTGGGAGCCGTGGTGAAGGGCTCCTGTCACGGGCTCTCGCCTTGTCACGAAGGGAGGAGGCTAAGTCTTCTGCAGACAGTGGTGCTGGGGGTGGGAAGTGAGTGCAGAGGGAGGGGATGTTGGGGTTGGGGGTGGTGAAGAGGGTGGAGAGAACTTCAGAGTCACTGTTTGAGCAGGAGCCAACCAGGAAAAGGCAGTGTCACTGAGGAACCGCAGTGCAGATTCAGATGAGAACTTTTTTTTTTTTTTTTTGTATCTTCAGTAGAGACAGGGTTTTTGCCATGTTACCCAGGCTGATTTTGAGCTCCTGGGCTCAAGCAATCCACCCATCTCAGCTTCCCAAAGTGCGGGGATTACAGGCGTGAGCCACTGTGCCTGGCCTCAGCTGAGAAGTTGATAGAGGAGTTCACAGTGACAGCAGGCTATCTGGCTGTGCAGATTTCTCTAATGGCCACTCACAGTGGGGCAGGTGCATCCAAGGCAGATGGGTGGATTTGTCCATGGAGGGGGTTTGGCTGGGAGGGTGGCACCCAAAGGCAGGGGGCTAAGGACTTGACAAGTCTGTCAAAGAGCAGGTGAAATGATGGCGACAGAACCTTAACCAGGTGGTAAGGGGGTGGACAGGAGAGGGCAGTGAAGTCAGGAGGAAGCAGCTTTACAGAGGGAGAACGGAGATGCCAGTGAGCTTCCGGTTGCAATGGAGGCGGAGAAAGTATTTAGCGAAATGACTTGAGCAGGCTGAAGGCAAGAGGTTGTGGGAAGCCTGCGTTAGTGATTGAGGAGGTAGACACATTTCTGCCCTGCCCATGCCTCACGTAGCCCGTACCATCACCTGTCTTCTGTTATAGCTGGCTGTCCATTACCCTATGGGATCAGTCCTCTGGGGCCATGAGCCTTAGTCTCCATCTCCCGTCCTTCCCGGGAGAGCCTGGCGCTGGACTCGCCCACGGCAGCTGCTCAGTCAGATGCTTATGCCAGGTAACCCCCTCTTTCCCCATTTTCTGAGCCTCTATGCTTCTGCTTTTTCTTTAGTGTCTTAAAAGAAATATTGTAAATAACCGGGCAAGGTGGCATGCGCCTGTAATCCCAGCTACCCCGGAGGGTGAGGCACAAGAACCTGCAAGGCAGAGGTTGCAGTGAGCAGAGATCACGTCACTGCAGTCCAGCCTGGGTGACTCATGGAGACTCGATCTCAAACAAACAAACAAAAAAGAAATAATGTGAGAATTGCAAGAGTCTAACTCTGTCTCAGATGAAAGGAAAGGGTATTTCTCCCCATATTACAGGAAAGCAGGACATTTTGTAGTCCCATATCAGGCCAGGAGTGGGTCATAGCGATCGATTGCTCTTGGGAACTCAGGAAGAGTGAGAACTGCGGTAGAGAGCATGGGGCTTTGGGAGGGACAGATTCAGGGACAACAAGGGCAGTGGCCTACTTTCCCTATCCCCTCCCAGTTATAGGTGGGTCTCTCCTTGCTCCTTGCATGCACATTGCCAACTGGCCATGCTGGAGTCCTTCATCCACCCAATAAAGAACCTACTCTGTGTCGGCTGGGCGCGGTGGCTCACGCCTATAATCCCAGCATTTGGAGAGGCCGAGGTGGGTGGATCATGAGGTCAGGAGTTCAAGACCAGCCTGACCAACATGGTGAAACCTCGTCTCTACTAAAAATACAATAATTAGCCAGGTGTGCTGGCACACGCCTGTAATCCCAGCTACTCAGGAGGCTGAGGCAGGAGAATCACTTGAACCCGGGAGGCAGAGGTTGCAGTGAGCCAAGATCTTGCCGCTGCACTCCAGCCTGGGCAACAGAGGGAGACTCTGTCTCAAAAAAAAAAAAAAAAAAAAAGGACCTACTCTGTGTCAGGCCTATGCTGGGAGCAAGGGATGAGCATATGAGCAGATGAGCACAATGCCAGTCTGGTTAGGACGAGTTCACCTGATCAAGGAGACAGGCACAAAAAGAAATAATTGCAGATGAGTCTACAATGGAGGGTGCTGTGGGCATAGAAAGAGGGAAACTCACTGGTCTAAGGGCCAAGGAAGATCCCTGGAGAACTGGATCTTGAAGGACGAGAAGGCAAAGAGCACAGAACATGTAAAGGCTGGCACAAATGAGAGGGCCTGGGGAGTTGGTGGAAATAGCTCAGCGGGGCTGCTCATGGGGTTTTCTGAGTGGGACCAAACCAGGTTAGGGAGCCTGGAAGGGGTGGGCAGCCACAGACAGGCTCTGAGGCACATTTTCGTTTTAGCTTTAGGATGATCACTCTGGCTCAAGGGATGTGCGTGTGCGTGGCCGGGGGAAGGGGAATGAAGAGGAGAAAAGAGCAGAAGCAGGGAGAAGGAGGCTGATGTGCCACTCAGGCAGGGATGAAGAGGGTCCCTTCTGGGCAGTGAGCATGAAGATATGGCTTGCCAGACAAATCTGTGTGAGGGAAAGCAGAGGAGTTGGTGATTTGTCACTGGACTTGGGTGAGGAGACAGTGACGGTGCCATCTAGCACTGCACCGAGTCTCTAACCTAGATGCCCCCTGAGCATGGCACTTCTAGGTGAGAGAGAGGAGCTCGTTCAAGATGAGAGGAGCAGGGTCAGTTTGGAATATGGTGGATATGAGGCACCCCTGGAGCACCCAGGGGAGCCGTTTCTGTTGTCCTTGGCGTTCTGGGACACGCCTTGTCTTTCTCTCCCGGGTCTGTTCACACTGTTCCCTCCCTCCATTGGCAACACTCTTCCCCTCATCTGTCAGCCCGGTGTTTTCTCCAGGAGACATCCTTGACGTTGCCTGCTGAAAGTCAACTTTTTGTTGTCAGAGCCTCTGTACTGTAACATCTCTTTGAAGACAGGTCTCATTTCCCTGCCTCTCTGGGCATCTTCCACAGGCTTCATGCAGTCTGCACCTCGATAAGCAGGAAGTGATGAAACACCTGAGTGCTGCTTCCTGTGGATCTCCATCACCCAGGAAATGGCACTGCATGCTACAGAGGGGGGATCCTCCCAGGGCTGACTCCAAGCAGGAAGTGACTCTCACCACCCTAGAGGGTTTGAAACACCTCTCCCATGCCCAGGAACCTAGAGCAGGCCAGCTGGCGCAGCCACTGCCCAGACATGGGATGTTCTGGTTTCAGAGGTGGGGTAGGGAGCTGTAGCCTCCCAGTCGCCCTCAGGGAATCTGTTGAGGCACAGCCGATGGCAGGTGCAGTTGCCAGAGAAACCAGTTAATAACACCAAACACGTAAGGCCTCATCCTGACCCAGCATGTGAGCAAATGCGAAGGACTCAGGTCCCTCACCTCTCCCTGGGACTGGAAACCAACCACCTTCCCAAGGCTGGCATCCAGTCCGTCCTCTCCCTACCTAACAGGAGAAACCACAGGACTGACTGAGGAGACCCTCAAGGCACCGTTTATGAGGCTGAGATAGGAGTGAGGAGTTCGTTTTGGATGGGGCGGGGCTTGGGGTAGAGGAGGAAGGGTCTCTGAGGTAAGATCCTGAGATGGAGACAATGACAACGGCAGCCGCCATTTTATTGCACATCAGCCATGAGCCGCGCCTTCCATGCACAATGACATTTCATCCCCACAATCGATGAACACAACCATGATAGCCACGAACTCCCAACTCCTCCAGCTGCTAGTGCTCAACGGGGAAATCCCTGCCAGGTCTGTCTCATTGCAGAGCCCATATTCTTTCTGCCTGGCAGCAGTTACTCTCCTCAATGAGCAGGCACTGGTGCAGTCTTGGGTGGACACCAGTTACCCCTATGGAAATCTTTGATGGATGTTACAAGACAGGATTGGATTTGAGGGGTTTTGGAAATGGGGCTCAAGAGTCTTCATCATGAGGTGTTTCTGCGTCTACTGACCTGAGATACAGACAGGAAGTTCCATGGACACAAACACCCAGTTCCAAGGAGGCACGCATTAACCTTCCCATGGTGTGGATGTGTGGGAACACATGGGCTGTTCATCACATTGCACCACTCTTCTGCAATCCACAGAAGAGCTGACCCAGCCTGGGGGCATACACGCACTCACGTATACTCAGCGTCCACATGCACTCACACCCTGGCTCAGCTCTGGGGACACTGAGGCCGGTGTGGGAAGAAGGGCTCTGGCTCCATCAGATGAGGCTGGCGATGCTGGATGTGGTCTCATGACGCCGGCCAGCAGACAACTGTCCTGAGATGCTGAAGATGCTGCCATGGCCGCCATGGCCACTGTGGGTGGAGGAGGTGGGCATACAGATGGAGGGGCAGTGTCCGCTCACGCCCACTTGATACAGCAGCAGGCCCAGCAGCAAAAGTGAGCCCAAGGCAGCCAGAGCAATGCCCACAGACAGCATGGCAGCCAGCGGCCTAGCAGGGGCAGGGGCGGCGGCCAGCCCGGCCAGGGTCAGGCCGGTCACCAGCAGCACGAGGCCACTGAGCAGCACCACGAGGGCATCGGCCCCTCCACCACTGCGCAGGAGGGCCACATGGTGGGCCTGGCGGATGCAGTTCATGTCCTGCACGGCCGAGCTCATCAGCTGTTTCACCAGAACCAGCAGAGCCAGCAGACAGAGCACAGTGCCTGTTGCTAGCCGCCATTCACCTGAGCGGCTGCTGGTGGTTGACAGCAGTGCCACGCCGCCCGCGCCACAGCCTGCCACGAGGCCCACTGCCACGACAAAGCAGAGCGCCGAGCGCCGTGGCTGCTGGGACCACCACAGCTCCACCTGCTCTGCCAGCATGTCTGGGGGCAGCCCCCGGCCCCTTGGGGCTTGAGCCTCCTGTTCAGACATGGCTTGGTCAGGCAGGGGTCAGGGTAGGTCAACGTCAGGGGTCAGAGGGTGCAGATCACAGCCTGGAGCACCCGCCACCTGCTTGGCAGCTACAGGCCCAGAGTCCCATTCCTCTCACAGTCCAGGATATAGTCACCCTCACCTGTAGGGGAAGAATCACAGTCTTACCCTCCCAGCCCACCTATCCCCCATGGTCCCACCTGGGGAGCCTTGGGGATGACCCCTGAGAATCCACCCCGGTGTCCCCCCGAATCTCCCCTGGGAAAGCCCCCTCTGCAGCACTGTCCCTTGGAAATGGCTCTCCAATGAAGCCAGGAGAGTATCCTGCCCATACAGTACCCCCCAAAACCCTCCAGGGAATCCCCTCACCCAGGCCCTGACCTCTCTGCCTCTGGCTCTCTCAGTCGCTGGTCCCATCCCGGCTGGCTGAGGGAGCTGGTGCCACGGTGGACGATGGGACGAACAGCCAGAGATAAAGCCTCATTCAGGATCCTACTCACATGGCCTCAGCTGTCACCACTGGTTCCTGGGGGGGGAGCTGTGGGGATGGAGGGGGTGCTTATGACTTAACCCTTCTGGAACCAGAAGCCTGACTGACCTTGATACTTCTTTTTTTTTTTTGAGATGGAGTCTCGCTCTATCGTCCAGGCTGGAGTGCAGTGGCCGGACTTTAGCTCACTGCAAGCTCCGCCTCCTGGGTTTACGCCATTCTCCTGCCTCAGCCTCCTGAGTAGCTGGGACTACAGGCGCCTGCCACCACGCCTGGCTAGTTTTTTTTGTATTTTTTTTAGTAGAGACAGGGTTTCACCATGTTAGCCAGGATGGTCTCGATCTCCTGACCTCGTGATCCGCCCGTCTCGGCCTCCCAAAGTGCTGGGATTACAGGCTTGAGCCACCGCGCCTGGCCTGATACTTCTCTTTTAGGGCTGTGTCTCCTCCTCCTCTGTGGGTTAGGACCAGACCCCTAACACCCTCCCTCCCCGAACATCCCATCCAATCCCACAGCCATGAGTTTGGTGTTATAAGCTGCCGGTTCCCAAATTCCTCTCTCCAACCTACATCTCCCTCCTGAGTCACTTGTCACTTTGATGTCCCTGTGATGCAACAGGTCCCAACCCAAGCTCGTTATCTTACTCCAACCTGCTCCTCCTGCGTTCCTCACTTCAGGCATGCCATCACCGCCCTCTCGGCCAGCTCCTCCTCCCTCTGCAGTATCTAATCCACATCCTGTCCCCAGGGCTCCACCTCTAAACACTTCTTTAGCCAGTTCCCTGCTCTTGTATTCACAGCTCCCGCCTCCACCTCCTCACTGGTCTTTCTGCTCCCCTTGCTCTTCTCCACACTCGCCATTCCCTCATGCCATCCTCCTCCACGATTTCTCTAAAGTGGAGCAAAGGAAAAAAGAGGGCTCTGGATTTGAACCCCAGCTCCAGTCCTTCCCACTGGTAGGAGCATGGCCAGGCACCTAACAGTGGTTGCTGATTTAACGTGTCTTCCAGAGGACAGCATGTCTCACACTGGGCAAAAATAAAGCACATGAGGTCCCTGCCCTCATGGAGCCCCAGTCTGCAGCAGGAGACAGAGACAGAAGCAAGCAGGCTGATGCCTGTGCTACGTGTGGGTGGGGGTTCGTCAGTCCAGAGCCCTGCAGAGCCCAGGAGAGGGGTCTAGGGGAGGCGCCAGGAAGCCTGAGTGGTTCATCTCTTACAGCCTCAGTCTCCTTATCTGAAAAGTGAGGACAATAACATTTATCTTGAGGGGTGGGGATGAGCCACCTGACATCTTCGTTTCGGAATTCCAACGGGGCCTAGAGCCTGCATAGATGCTCAAAGCGTGCTTTTTGAATACATGAAAATGATGTTACCCCTCCAAAGCAGGACAGGGCAGAAGATGTAGGTCCTGGGTCATTCTGGGAATATTACTATGTGGCTGTACACAGGTTACATCCTGACAAGGTATCTGTCCTCCCGGAGACTCCTCTGCAGAGGCTGACCCCTACCCCCCAGGTGGGCAGGGGCTGGTGCCAATGCCTCCAAGGAAGTGGGGGAGGTGGGCGTGGCCATGGAGTCTGTCCCAGCATTCCCTTGGGCTGTGACTTCACTGGTCTGAAAGTGCTTGCAGAGGTGTGCTGAGACAGCGGGGGCCAGGCTGGGGGCAGGGTGGAGGTTCTCAGGGGAAAAGCGAGTGGGAGAACGTAGGGGTGGTGGGGTGTGGGGGGACAATGGGTAACTCACGAGAAGCCTGGACGTGCTGGATCCCATCCGAGAAGGCAGGGCTGAGCAGGTGGGGCACTCTAGCTCGGTTTCCGGGGAGACACTTCACCTGCCTAACCTGCACTCAGGTGAGCCTGTGGGGAGGAGGATGAACAGGTGTCGTTTCCAGGGCAGGGCCTGAGCCGATTGGCTGACGTGGCACTGCTCCTTCTGCTGGGCAGAGGCATTCCTGGGAAGGGAGGGGCTTCTGTCTGCTGCTGTTAGGGCTGGGAACACAATTCGCCGACCTGGGCAGCAGGAGGAATGTTGTCTATCTGCCCCAGAGTCTGGGCGCCAACCCATTCCCCAGCTCCGACCCGATTTAACTTTAGCTCCAGCTTCAAAACCACCCCCTAACTCCAGCTGCAGCTGCAAACCCTAGCTAGAACCCCCAGCTTCCACCCCTGCCCCAGCTCCTGCCGCACATCTCAGCCCCAACTCCCAGCCCCATTTCCAAATTCAATTCCAGTTCCAACTCCAAATCCAACCTCAAGTCTGGCTAGAAATCTCAGCTCCCAACTCCTAACTCCAACTCAGATTCTAGACTAAGGTCCTAGATCCCAACCTCATGCTCAGCCCGAACCTCGACTCCTGTTCCTGAATCCAGCCCCCAAACCCAACGCCAACCTCAAACCCAGCTTTAGCCCCAAATTCCAACACCAGCAGACCGCAAACACAGCCCCAGTACCTCCATTCCTTGGCCCTAGGCTGGAGCCTCCAAAAGCCCTTCGCTCATTCTCCCTCCAACGCCTGGCTTGCCCCACAGACTGGATCCTACTGGGGAAGCAGGATTTGAGTGAACAGGGAGGAGGGGTGAAGGCCTTTCAGGCGGGAGACAGGAGCTCCCAGAATAAACACTTCAGAATAAACGCCACACTCCTTCACAAGGCTCATAAAGCCTCTGCCACATGCACCAGGTCAGTCATTTGCCACTGGCACCCTGCCCTCCTCTCTGCCCTTCCAGTTTTTGAACTCAAGAGTTCTCTCTTGCCTGGGATATTCGCCACTCCCCAGCCTCAGTCTGAGCGACTTGCATTCTTCAACTGAGATGCCACCTCCTCCAGGAAGCCCTCCCTGATTTGCAGGCTGGTTTAGGTGCCTCTTGCGTGCACCCATGGTCCCTGTGCTTCCCCAACTACTACTCTTACTGCAATGTGCTTAACTGCCTATTATGCATTTACCTGTCATCCTCTGCTAGATGTGTGGTCCCCAGCAAGTACAGGGACAGTGTGTCTTTTACTAATCATCATGACCTCAGTAGCTAGTATGCAGGAAATAATCAACACATATTTGTTGAATAATTGATTAGCAGACTAAACGATAGCGTGAACTGACAGCTGTGGGGGTTTTGAGCAGGAAGCATGTGAGATGAAGCTGGAAAGACAAGTTTGGCTCCGGTGGTTCAGGGTCTTGAAGGCCCATAGTGAGGCACTTGGACCGTGTAAGGGGCCCATGAAGGGTTCTGAAGTTTAACAGGGACACGGTCGGAGCTTCTAATAGGCAAATCTGGCACCACACACACACACACCACCCTCCGGACTGGTGAAAGGCAGGCTGGCTGGAGCTGGTATAGGCTGTCCCTCATCTCCTGGACCAGCCCCTGTGGTGTCTCTTGCTGTCTCCTCCTCATGTGTGTGAACTAGAAAAGAAAAACAAGATCACACTTGTCTTGTCATTATCAGGTCACAAAATAATTGTACTTAGCCCGCTTTTGCCATCTCTTTGCTTTGTTCCGTGGAGGTGACTGGAGGCCAGTCATAATTCTAGAACAGCCCTGTCCACTAGAAATATAGCCTGAGCTGCCGGGCACGGTGGCTCACTCCTGTAATCCCAGCACTTTGGGAGGCTGAGGTGGGTGGATCACGAGGTCAGGAGTTCAAGACCAGCCTGGCCAACATGGTGAAACCCTGTCTCTGCTAAAAACACAAAAATTAGCCAGGCATGGTGGTTGGTGCCTGTAGTCCCAGCTACTCAGGAGGCTGAGGCAGGAGAATCGCTTGAACCCAGGAGGCAGAGGTTGCAGTGGGGTGAGATTGTGACACTGCACTCCAACCTGGGTGACAGAGCAAGACTCCATCTCGGTGGGGTGGGGGGAGAAAAAAGAAATATAGTGTGAGCCACAGATATAATTTAAACATTTCTAATAGCTGCATTCAAAAATGAAAAAGAAACCCATACGATTAATACATTGAAATTAATATATTTTAATTGCAAAACACATTTTAATATATGTTATTGATGAGCTATTTTACAGTTTTATTTTGTACAAGGTATTTTATTTTTATTTTTAAAAATAGAGATGGGGGTCTCGCTGTGTTGTCCAGGCTGTTCTCAAACTCCTGGGTTCAAGCGATCCTCCTGCCTCGGCTTCCCAAAGTGCTGAGATTACAGGTGTGAAAAGAGTCTTGAAAATCTGGTGGGTATTATTTTACACTTACAGTGCATCTCATTTATCCCAGCCACATTGCAAATGCCCAGGCACCACATCTGTCATGTGGCTGTGTCCTTACTGGATGGCATGGCTCTAGATGTCCTTCCCCTCAGAGAAAGGTCAGGGTAGGCTGGATCAGGAGGATGGTTGGGCAGAATGGGTGGGGAAACAGTGGTGTGGCATTGCAGGTGTTCATCCTGTCACTTTGCAAAGGATTATAAAGGTATCCCCTTTATAATAAAGGGGCTTGACTCAGAGGAGCAGGGGAGCCAGAGGCCCAACAGGGCTTGCTGGCTGCAGATTCCTCTTGTACACATCTGACATTTATTTACCCACCCTGGTCCCCAGGAGGGTCCAGTCCCAGCCAGACCCATGGGCCAGCTGTTCCAGGCAGAGCTGCAGCAGGGGACCCATGAAATTTTCCTTCTTTTTCCCTTTCCCTTGGGGGTTTGAAGGGAACTTTTTGGATGGGAGAAACAAAGCCTAAAAGCTTCGTTGGTTTAAACATTGATTGGGCAAGGCTCTATTCTAGTTCTGGGTCTTATCAAGTAACTTGGAGTCAAGTGGAAAGGCAGGCTTCTCACAGGGCTGTTGAACTCTGTCCCCAAAACAGAGGTTGTTGGGGTAATTCAGACTGGTGACGGTGAAGGTCAGCAGGAGGAGGCAGCCGTGGGCACAGAGCGGAAGGTGCGGACGAACCACCCGCAGATTCACAAGAAGGTGGCGAATGGGAGCACTTGGGGGAGAACGCAGAGGCTGCGGGGCTGTCTCCCAGCTTCTGCCATGTTCCCACCACAGGCTGTTCTTAACCCAGTGGCCCCAGTGATCCAGTTAGGAGGTGCAGAGTCCCTCCAGCGGCCCGCCTCCCTCAGAGGAGCAGAGTCCTCCCACCGCCTTAAGGCCCTCTCTGGCTTCATTCCTATTGCCTCAGAGCCTCTGCACCAGCAGCTCCATCTGCCTGGAATGCTTCCGATCCACGTGACTCCCTCCCTCCCTCCTTCAGGAATGTTCTCAAATGGCATCTTCTCAGGGAGACCTCTTGGTCACCTTGTCTCAAATTGCAACCTCCCCAGTACTTCCTATCCCCTGTCCTTATGTCTTTTATTTCCTTATGTTTCTCCTTAGCATGATCACTCTGACATGCTATATATCTTTCTTATTAAATGGGAGTTTTGTCTCCTAGATAGTAAGCTTCCTGAAGGAAAGGATTTGTGTCTGTTTACTGTCCTATCCCTACCTCCTGGAACAGGACTGGCATAGAGTAGGTGCTCAATAAACATTTGTTGAATGAATGAATGAATAGTGGAAAGAACACTGGGTTTGGAGCTAGATTGATCTTGAAGGTTCAAGCCCCAGCTCTAGCTGTGTAACCGGAGAAAAACTGCTTAATCTCCATGTGTCTCATTCATTTGTAAGACGGAGATGACATAACTTACTTTATATAGTTGTAGGGGGATTAAATAATATAATTCGTCTGGGCACGGTGGCTGGCACCTATAACCCAGCACTTTGGGAGGCTGAGGTGGGCAGATAACTTGAGGTCAGGAGTTCAAGACCAGCCTGGGCAACATGGTGAAACCCCGTCTCTACTAAAAACGCAAAAAATTTGCTAGGTGTGGTGGCGGGCGCCTGTAGTCCCAGCTACTTGGGAGGCGGAGGCAGGTAATTGCTTGAACCCAGGAGATAGAGGTTGCAGTGAGCCGAGATTGCACCACTGTACTCCAGCCTGGGCAACAGAGCAAGACTCCGTCTCAAAAAAAGAAAACAAAGAATGAATCCATTCAGCATCCATTGATCATATCCTTCCTGTGGCCCAGGTGTTGTGCAGGTGCTGGAGATACTGTGGTGAGTGGAGAGGCACTGTTCTTGCCATCCTGAGGGCGGTCTCAGGGGACAATGGGTGTAAGGCATAGCACCTACAGGCTTCCAGTGTCTCCAGGCACCCACTCCCTTCTTAGTGAGTGATAGTTCCCCGAGATAGACATCTTTTGGAGTATTGGTCCCATTCACCATGACCATCCTCACTGCAAGGAAGAATCCCAACGACCAGATTATGTTTTGTGACCCACCACTGCAGCTACAGTTGATTAGATAGAGCCTCAGACTCTAGCTAGGCACCCAGATAGGTGAGTGTCCTTTGTGGGTCCAGACAGCAGGATCTGCTCCTCCCAATTTGGGAAATTTTAAAAGGAATTTCCATTTGTAGGTGGAACAAGCCCAACTGACTGAGAGGGAAGCGCTGCGACTGTTTCAGTACGGACACTCTTGGGGACTTGTTTGTACTTGTGTGTTATGTCCCAGCAAGTGAGCATCTTTTTTGGGTACCAGATGGCAGGGTCAGCTCCTCTCAATTTGGGAAATTCCTTAAGGAATTCCCATTTGCTGGTTGATCAAGCCCAAACACAGAAGAGAGAGGAAGCACCCTGACTGTTTCAGTTTGGACACTCTAGAGGCTTGTGTGTTGCTGCAGTAGTTGGATAGTGTTCTGGTGACTGTGTGTGTTTGATACAGTCATGAGGAATTAGAATTCAATTTGATAATCTTTTGCAATGCTGTTTGGCCCCAATCTTGTTTGGAATCTGGAGTTGGCTGTTGAATGGGAAAGTGGGATGGAGTTGCATGTATCCAGGCTTTTGCGGTGCTGTTGTAAGCACAGTCGGGCCTGGTTAATTTGCGATGTTTTCCTTTGGTGCTGTTTAGCCCCAGTGTTCTTTGGAGTCTGGGGAGGTTTGGCCCTTAAAAATCAAACTGCCATGAAAACTGCTTTACCCAAAATTTTGGCTCATAGCCTTTGTTGGATTACCTGTCAGGGCAAACAAAGTGTAACCATGTAAAGCTGGTGAGTTTGTATTGCTATGGCATGGGTGAAGTTTCAAGGTAAAAGCTATTGGATTTTCACTTGTATATGTGTCTACATACCTAGATGTGTTTATTTGTATGTACACTTGCTGTTGTATGTTGTGTTGGCTTATAAGAGCACTCATAAATTAAGTAAATAAGTCTAAGCAATTTTCTTTTCTTTTCTTTTTTTTTTTGAGACGGAGTCTCGCTGTGTTGCCCAGGCTGGAGTGCAGTGGCGCGATCTCGGCTCACTGCAAGCTCCGCCTCCCGGGTTCACGCCATTCTCCTGCCTCAGCCTCCTGAGTAGCTGGGACTACAGGCGCCCGCCACCACGCCTGGCTAATTTTTTGTATTTTTAGTACAGACGGGGTTTCACCGTGTTAGCCAGGATGGTCTGGATCTCCTGACTTTGTGATCCTCCTGTCTCGGCCTCCCAAAGTGCTGGGATTACAGGCGTGAGCCACTGCACCCGGTTGAAGCAGTTTTCAAGTTCACATGACTTAAGTAAATCTTTACTAAACAAACTGGTTTTAAAATTATTGGTAGAATGAAAATATAAATGTCTTCAGAATTGTCAGCATACATTTCTGTCTGGATTTTATATTTGTCACCGTGCTTGGCCCTTAACTTGGAGGCTCTAAAGAGAGCACCTGAAGTTCACTGGCTATGAAAAAACTGGTTAGGCCGGGCGTGTGTTTGGCCCCAATCTTGTTTGGAATCTGGAGTTCCAGCACTTTGGGAGGCCGAAGCAGGCAGATCACTTGAGGTCAGGAGTTTGAGACCAGCCTGGCCAACGTGATGAAACCCCATCTCTACTAAAAATACAAATTAGCTGGGTGCGCTGGTGCACACCTGTAATCCCAGCTACTTGGGAAGCTGAGGCAGGAGAATTGCTTAAACCCAGGAGGCAGAGGTTGCAGTGAGTTGAGACTGCACCACTGCACTCCAGCCTGGGTGATAAGGTGAGACACTGTCTCAAACAAACAAACAAACAAACAAAAAAAAAAAAAAGAAAAAGAAAAAAGAAAAAAACTGGTTAACAAGGAAATAACCAACTTTAAATGATGGTGTCTAATAACTGTTTTCAGAAATAATCTAGATAAACTGTTAAAAATGAAAGAATTGAGTACATGTAAATGGCATGTTTTAGGTAAACTTTTTGTGTAATTTTAAATCTTAAAATTATTTTGATGCTCATTAACATCTGCATCATTTCCAGTTAAGAAAGGGTTATGATACGGGGAAATATGTTTCTAGAAACTGTGAAACTGTTCTCAGCTATAAAATGCTCACATCTGATAGTTCAGGATTTATTGCTTCCTAGGGTTTCACTAAAACTTAAGGTTACCAAGGATAAGAATTAGAGTTAATATATAATTATGCCTATAAAATGTGCCACAAATGTGCTATTAGTGAGAAAAAGAATAATTATATCTAATTCAGAAGTTATTTAAAAGTAAAATTAATTCAAATTATGGACTTGAAAATGATTATGAAACAAAGTAGTAAGGAACCAGTAAGTAAGGGAGAGAGGTGTGAAGAAAGT